GATTAAGTTAGAAATGAGTAAGAAGGAAAGCCCACATACACTCCCATGCCTGTGTGTTTGTCCAAGATGGACTTACATGTTTCAGAACTGCTTTCCCCCGGCTCGGTCTGCTAAGACCATGCTGGGGAGTATAGTGTTGTAAGAGGTCTGTGCTGCCAATGTTCTCAGTCCTCTGCAAGCCGGGGGCGGGGGGGGGGGGGATCTTGACCTTTGTGACAGGGCAAGTGTCCAAATGACTTCCAGGAGGTGGAGGAGAAGTAGCAACTCCGCTCAGATCTGGAAGGCAAAGGATGCTTGAAGCCAAGCCGCAGAGGCCGTAATCAATGTCCATACAGCCTGGTGGGTAGGGACATGAAGGATCTTGAATATCATTCCCATGGAGTGCTTAAATATTTTAAATTGGCGGGGGGGGGGGGGATTCTGTGTAGAGACAGCGAGAGAGTACCTACATCAGGACTGAAGTCAGACCCTGTACCCCTTCTCTCAAAACCCTGGGGAAATCGCTCTAGATCACATCCCTCAGGTAAGCAGTGCAGAGCAGAACTCTGCAAGCCCAGCACAGAGACAGAGTCAGCAGTGTGGGCCTGGGCTGGGGGGAGGGAGGGAGTAAGAACAGCAGCAAGGCATGCAGGGATCTGGTGGGATGAAGTAGAGGGTGTCCTGAGGTTGGCTAGAGTGGTACCCGTGTATCACAGAACACACTTCTGAATGACTGGGAGCTGTATGCTCTAGATACACTGTACAAATTATGTCTTGATAAGCTGTTGCTTAAAACATATCTTAAATGACTAAAATCGATCATATTCATCACAGGAAGATCAAGAGGAAATCTCTTTTCTGAACATCTATGCCCCAAACACAAGAGTTCCTCCATCTGTAAAAAAAAAAAACAAAAAAAAAAAAAAACAAAAAACAAAACTTAAATTTTATTTATAACATGTGTATGTGATTTGTGTGTATGGGTGTGTGTGTGTGTGTGTGTGTGTGCTACTGAGCCTGTCATGGAGGTCAGATGACAACTTTCAGTACTCAGTTCTCTCTCACGTCAGTTGTGGGGGGTGGGTGGGGTTGAACTCTGGTTATCTGGCTTACCACATGATCTCCCCAACTCTAAAAAAAATATTTAAGTTGGTGCGTGGATGGAGTGGAGCTTCGAACAGGAACCTGGGCAAAAACCAGGTCATGAGGGCAAAACTTTATGGTCCCTGTGGCAGTCTGAATAAGAATGGGCCCCGTGGGCTCGGGTATTTGAGTGCTTAGTCATCAGGAGTGGCACATTTGAGAAGGACTAGAAGGCGTGGCCTTGTTGGAGGAAGTTGGAGGTTTCAAAAGCCCCGTGTCAGTCTCTCTTCCTGCTCCCTGCACTCTTCAACGCCTCTCCAGCACCGCATCTGACTAAACTTCTGAAACTGAGCCAGCCCCAATAAAACGCTTTGTTTTACAAGAGTTGCCATGGTGTCTCTTCACAGCACAGAACACTGACTACGACAGTCCCCCAAGGGAAGGGAAAAAAGAAAGACCTTCAAGGGTATGGACTGGCGCCACCCAGAAGCACCCGAGAAAGCTGCCTGAGTCAGAAGGTTCCCTCATCACCCGAGTCTCGTCCAAAATCCCTCGTCCATTTCAGCATCAAAGAACAGCAAAGCATGTCAACTCTGAGCCAGGACGGGGCTGTCCTAGTTCCAGTCCCACAGGCTACCCTTGACCACGTGCAATGTGGAGATGGCCCACATTTTCAGACGTGGGAATGGAAACAAATCACTAGGTAGCAGCACCTTAATTGGTGCAGAATCCCAAGCCCTCCCTGCCATGGTGGATAAAAGGTATTGAGAGCGCGACCTTCTCAGCCGTGGTCCCACTCAGCCCGGGGATGCCTACAGCACGCAGCTCCAGCAGAGGAACGTCGTATGGGGGTGATGATAAGTTGGCGTTCCCTTCCCACACCAGGGAGCCTGTGAAACAACCAATCTGTTAAGCTCCCCCCCCCCACCAAGTTGCTTATGCAATCTCCTTACCATCCAGCAGGTGGCAGCGTGGCACTGCAAAATCCCCAGCTCCTTGAATCTCGCCTATTAAAAGTTGGCTCTTGTTTTGTTTGTTTTATTTTGCCTGTTTTTGAGACAGGATCTCTTTATGTAGCTCTGACTGTCCTGGAACTCACTATGGAGACCAAGCTGGCCTCAAACGCAGCGATCCACCTTCCTCTGCATCCCAAGTGCTGGGATTAAAGACATGTGCCACCACTTCCAGCAATCTTGCCTATTACAGGCAGGTGGCTTCTACCACCTCTCATCCCCTGGTTTCCCCCGGCCGATCCTTCAGAGCTGGTGATAGATGGATGATATTGAATGTCCTTGATTAACTGATGTCTCTGTTTCTTTCCCGTCGCCGTGACAATCACCCCAACAAAAGCAACTGAGAGGAGAGGTCACAGTGAGGAAATCAAGGTGGCAGCATTTGAAGCAGATGATTACATCATATCCACAGTCGGAATCTAAGACAGAAAGTGGTGCATGCTGATATCGCCGTCGTTTTATTCCCAGGGAATGTATACACCCCATCCGCCGGGGGTCTGTCTGCCCATCTCGCCTGTCACAGTCTAGATAACCCCCACAGAAATATCCAAAGTTCCACCTCCCAGGTGAGTACAGACTCTGTCCAGCAGGCACTTAGCATTTAACTGGATGACATGTCTGCTCCCCTGCCCGGGGAAGTTTAAGAAGCTCAAGCCCACCCCATCGCAGGCCCAGATCATAGCTTTAATGCAATCTCCCTGGCAATGCCAATGGCAGCCATGGTTAAAGCCTTGCCCTGGGTACTGCATGAAGACCCACCTCATCCAGTTGTGACCTAGACTCTGGACATGCTGCCGACACCTCCCCCATAACATCTCCATGTCCTCACAATGCTCACTCAACATCACCCAAGGGCCACGCATTCGACACGTCCACAGCGGCCATCCTCTACACACAGGCTGAGACCTAGACCAAATAGTGCACTCTCCCCAGCACCCACATGGCTTTGCTCAAGCCCTGGACAGCTCTACCGGACTGGGGCAGACATAGGCAAAGATGCCCTTTCTCCTTCCCACCTATACAGCTATGGCCATGGGAGTGATCTTAAAAATACTCTCCTGGGATGTCTCCCTGAAGGCCAATCCCCTGTCTTCCAAAAAGATAGACTTGCCCCAACAGTATCAGCCACTGGTGCAGCTGCTGCCGCCTCTCCATCTCTGGATCCCAACGGCCCCTGCTGCTAGTCTTGTGGGCCTTGCCCCTTCTGACTGCCTGATGAGCCCCACATCCCAGCCCCTGCGCCTAACCCATACCTCGCTTTCAGATCTGGGCCCAATCACACCGATTTCTCCACCAGCTCCCTCCCATGCCTGCCATCAGCCCAGGGACAAGCTTCACAGAGACACCTCGTCCTTTGGGCCAGGGCGACTTCTAGGTGATGCCTGCCTTCCACAACATAGCTGGCCACATGGTGAGCCAGTTCAGAGGAGTCAAGAAGCTGTTGTCTGGCCTCTTCCTTTTCCAGATCCAGAGCCTGGTGTTCCTTAAGCATGTGTCTGTGTTCTTTTGCGGACTCGCTCTGTAGACCAGGCTGGCCTCGAACTCAGAGAGATCTGCCTGCCTCTGCCTCCTGAGTGCTGGAATTAAAGTCGTGTGCTGCCTCGCCTGATTCTCTGTGCTCTTGCATACTGGTAATGGTATGGAGCCCCAGAATCTTCCAGAAAACGCAGGCTCTCACCCATTCACTTCAGAGATGTGTATCATGCATTTATGCAGTCATGGGGAGTGCTCAGCAAGTCAATCATTTTCTCTTCCTGGCGAAACTCAGAACAGAGGCGTTAGCTGACTCTACCAAGGTCACACAGCGAGCATGAGCTTCTGAATAGTACTGCCTTGTGCTGGAAGCCAGTGACCACATCTCTCTACCTTAGTGAAGAGAACTCCACCTGTTGCTGAAACTACGGAGCCCTGGGAGGTTCACACCTTGGGAGGCTCTGGGCAAATCACAAACATGGAGGAAGGGTTAACCAGTGGCTCCTCCTGCTCTGTAGGAAGAAAGGAAGCCTTGGGTGCTGCCTCCTACCTCCTGTGGTATCAGAAACCCCACATGCTCTGCCCCGCCCAGCCTTAGACAGCCTGAGCCTCCAGTGTCCAGGGCAGAGACTTCTGCTGCAAGGCTCCCACCCTGACGGTAAAGATGAGCCAGTGTCCTCCCTGCACAGCCCGTGCTCCTGAGTGGAGCCGACAATATTGGAGACAGCCATTCTGGGCCAGTTGGGGCACACGAAGTACTCAGATCGAGGCTACCTGTTGTATGGGAAGGGGTCTGTACTGAGACTGAGGCCTGCACAGAACTCTGCAACCCCAGCTGCTCACCAACAAGGAGTCTGGACGCTTCTCTTCTCCAGCGATCTCTGATCTGCGCTCAAATTCCAGTTCCTCCTCTCCCTAATCAAAACAGAAAAATCCATCCTATTCCTTCGCCAGGGCAAGACTGGGACTCCTTCGCCTGAAAAGTCGAGTGAGGGAAACGTGAGGTTGTCAGTCCTGAACAAAAATGTTTCATCCCAAAGGCCGGTCCTCACCTCAAACCAAAACTTAGGGAGGCGGTGGGAGCCACTCTGAGACGCACTTGGTGGTGGAGCAACAGGCTGGCTAAGAGACCTTCACCTTCAGGAAGGTGATAACTCAGCCCTGAGGGCCAGTCTGTGTGTCAGACCGCCAGGCCGAGATACAGAAGAGAGCCCGGCTGAGAGCTCCCGCTCGGCTCCTGTGGGTGGGGATCCAAAACAAGGCTAGGCAGGTCAGTTCCCCAGGACCAGAGCTTTTGGGGTGGTGAACCCCCCCCCCCCACCTAAGAAAACAAGAGACGGCAGTGGAGATACCAAGAAGCAAGCATGGCGCTCCCGGGTCCCGAGAGTTCTATCTCTCGCTTGTGGCTTGTGTGTCTGCGTAGCGAGTGGAGCAGGGCTGGGAAGAGGCGGGCAGCAGGTCCCCTCTGATTGGACGACGCGAAGTCCCAGCCAGCGCCTCAGCAGCTTAAAAACGAAACCCGGCCAAGCAGGAGCTAAAGCGACCCGGCCGGCCATGCGCCTTGGCGAGGAGGTGCAGAAGGCGTGGCGGGCTGGAGAGGCCACGCGAAGGTCCAGGGACGTACAGACAGCCGGAGAGCGGGACGAGCCCGCAGGGCAGGAAGCCGCACTGAGGTAGCAGGCTCCAGAGAGCCATGGCTGAGCTCAAGTCGTTGTCGGGGGACGCGTACCTGGCACTGAGCCACGGCTACACCGCGACCGGCCACGCCTACGCAGCGGCACGCGGACCAGAGACTACTCGGGGCTTTGGTGCCTCGGGTCCAGGTGGCGACCTCCCCGCGGCGCCTGCTTCCCGCGTCCCCGCCGCGACAGTGGAAAGCAGCGGCGAGCAGAGCGGCGACGAGGACGACGCCTTCGAGAGGCGGCGGCGGCGGCGAGGGCCCGGGGTCTCGGTGGACACACGGCGGCGGCCCCGGGAGCAGCGTTCGCTACGGCTCAGCATCAACGCACGCGAACGGCGGCGAATGCACGACCTGAACGACGCGCTGGACGGACTGCGCGCAGTCATCCCCTACGCGCATAGCCCGTCGGTGCGCAAGCTCTCCAAGATCGCTACCCTGCTGCTGGCCAAGAACTACATCCTCATGCAGGCTCAGGCCCTGGAGGAGATGCGGCGCCTGGTGGCCTACCTCAACCAAGGCCACGGCCTCGCTGCGCCTGTGGCCGCCACGCCGCTAACGCCCTTCGGCCAGGCAGCGGTCTACCCGTTCTCAGCCGGCGCGGCGCTCGGGCCCTGCCCAGACAAGTGTGCCGCCTTCTCCGGATCGCCCTCGGCGCTTTGCAAACACTGCGGCGAGAAGCCCTGACGGCGCAGAGCCCCAGCTCAGCCGCCTTTCTGTTTAGACTCTCCACTGTCCTCACTGGCGGGACCCTATGGGGGGCGGGGGGAAAGGCAGCCTGAACCCGGACCCTGCTTGCAGAACTATTGAGTGCAGAACGCAAAGTCGGTCCCGGCAAAGCCAGAGACTCACTGTACTCAAGACCCCTCCGCATCCACAGAACTCTCTCAGCGTCCGCTGGGCGTTGCCAGCGCTCACCGGGTGAGGATGACTGGTTACCAGCTGTGCGCCAAAAGAAAGCCACGGGAGGGAACGGGTAGTGGCTAGTCCCACTTCTGACAGGTGACTCTGCCCAAAGCTCGGGAGAGCAGACAACGCTTCACTCGACCAGTTCCTAGCACTAGGGATCGTCCTCTGCCCCAGTCCCCTCTAGGCCAACCTGCAGGGCCTTGCTCCTGGACCTGTTCCGCAGGACCGGTGTGGCACCTCACTGGGGCCTCTGACGGCTCCAAGATTCAAACTCGGCCTCTGAGAGAGATTCCGTCCTTTGCAAAGGGCGTGAGGGCCCAGGAGATGAGATCTGCAGCATTTTCCAAGTCTGATTTTGTTCTGTTAGCATTCTTTCCTGCCCAGAGGCTCAAGAAACCCACTCTGGCCTCAAAGTCTGTGGACTTATCCCTAAATATGCCCGGATCGCCAGCGCCTGCCTCCCGCGGGCTGGGATGGGCATCATTTCGTTCTGTTTGTTTCATGGGCACTGGTGGAATACGGGTCCTCACAACTTGCACGGGGCTACTTGACCCTGGAGGGTCAGCCGATGACTTCAGTCTCTCTATATTTGGGGCCTGCCGAGACCCCCTGCGCCAGTTCGGGAACTTCTGGAGGAAGCCGGGCTACCGGTGAGTACCCGGCGCTGGACGAACTGAATCTTTCCACTGTCCCTAGTCGGAGCCTTAGCCCGGGAGCCCGAGATGCTGGTGGCCCTCGGCAGCTTCCGCCTCTGTTTACCCAATTATTTTGGCCTTCGTAGATGCAAAGCAAATCGGGAGAGGGCTGCCACCCTGCAAAGCGCCTGTCCATAGCGCTTAACTTTAATTAATGTGTTTGAAAAGGCCCCTTTTGTATTTGCAAAACGACGTGTGTGATTGTCTTATTCATAAAGACATACGCTTAATACTGGTTTCTGCTCATTTCCATTTTTTTATTTCTTAATTGTCTTTTCCGGTCCCCTAAACTAATCTGCTTTGCACATTTAAAAAACAGACTGCTTTTCAAGTTCTCTTAAGATGAACAGAGAAAACTGGAAACTCAAGTGTTGTTAGTTCTGGGGTCGTTACCCATCATTATTCGAAAAAGTCCCGTGTTTTTGTTAAGACCAGGGATGGTGTGCAGAATAAAGTATTTGATTCCGGCTTCTTTTACAAAAACAATATCATTAAATTTTCATATCAAATTAAGTGTCCATCTACGACTTGATTTATAATTTCAATCTTCAGACAATATACTGATGTGAGATCCTTCTTTTAGAGCCCCCAGGAAATCTCTGAGACTTTAAGATGGATCCATATGCAGCTAACAGATAGGTGAGTCCGTATGAGAAAGGTGTTGGTAGGTGACCCACACACCTGCAGGGACTTGAGGCAGGAGGATGGGAACTTTGAGGTCAGCCTTAGTGAGGCCCTCTCTGGAAAAATAAATAAATAAATAACTTTGAAAAAAGAAAGGAGAAAACATTTTCCCTAGGATAAAAGCAGCTCCCAAAGAGCTGGGTGTGGTAGTCTCACACTTGGAAGATGGAAATAGAATTGTTTCAGTTCAATTCAGTTCAATTTCAGCCTCAACTAGAATAAGGTCTTATCTAAACAAAACAATAACAACCGGGGCGGGGGGGGGGGGAACCCCTTCTAACCATCTTACTAATAAAAGCATCTCCAAGTACTAACCTTAAATAAAAATTCAAATTAAATCAGAGCATTTTAAAATTGCAAGCTGTTCTTCAAATATCAGCAAAACTTTCACTGGGATGAACGAGTAAGGTAGGATAGAACTCCGTCCGTAGTGTTCTTAGTTGTGGCCATTTGATAAAGCAATAGGGTATTAATAAAAAACAATTGTGGCCATTAATAAAGCATCCCGGAGTTGCACAGCCAGCTTCGATCTGAGGCTGCCCTCCACAGCCTCTGCGCTGAACAGCAAAAACTCAGTCAGCGAGGGCGCCTGCTCTAAGTGTTGGCTCTTTTAAAGCAGCTCCTGGGGGCTCTGGTAGTTTCTTGCTCCTGAGGGTGAGGATCACTGAGTCTTTGGGGAAGTTTCCTTGGACACCTGGGATTTGAACTGGCAGTCTGCAGAGCTCATTGCCTCTTTTGCTTTTACTTGTTTTGGTTGTTTTTGTTTTGTTTACTGCTTGTTTGGGTTTTTTGTTTTGCTTTGTTTTTTAGGAAAGTAGCTGTGGCTATGTTAAGGTGCAAGGAGGTGTCCCCCAGGCCTGGGGGCTCTTCCCTCCATGATGAATCAGTGTACCCCACACAGGGCAGTGGGGGAGGTTTGTGACGCTTACCTTTTCCAAGCGGCTGCATAAAACGTGAACAGAAATGGGTGAAATCACTTTTATTGGTAATGTTTATGTCTCCACATGTACTCACGTCTTGCTCACAGCGCTCACTCACCTCTGTGCCGACCGGAGATGTTTCCAGTGTTCCATGCTCATTCGTGGCTCATGGCCACCGTGGCCTTGGCACAGCTCCAGGCCGTGACTATATAGAGCATTGAAATGCCCTTGGCTTCTTCCTTTTGTCTAATGATTACCAGGAAATGCCAAAGAATTGGGGAACAGATCCTCGAGCCAGGCAAACACACAATGCTCTACCCCTTTGCTCTTTCAACACCTAGTCATAGACTCAGTCTCCCTCCAAGGTGTTAGATACAGGTGGGAACAAGGAGAAGAGCTACTGTTAGCCGTCTACCAAGAGAGTAGATGGGAAATGTCCACTGGGTCTCCGGTCCCATGTCCTCCTACTTCACACTGACTGACCACACCCAAGCCAGAGAACCCACCATCAAACAAGGCTGGAAGCTGGTGATAACCCTAGGTCCCTCACACTTGGGGAGAGGTAGGTTTGAGTCAGTGCCACTTTCCTCTGCTGACCCTGCTGGATGCTAGTTGAGCAACTCAAAGACACCAACTTGGCCTATCCTGAGAGGAAGGGCCTGGTGAAGTCCACTTACAGGAGCTCTACTGCTATGATCCAAATGGCTCTCTAGGAACCATGTTGCCCGGCCAGGTCCTACACCAGCTTCATTCACTAACTGTCATATCCACTCTTGGATGCCTGCTGCTAGCCTGCTACTCTCCCCAGGGCATCCAGCTTGCCACACGGGTCAGGAGACTTAAAGGGTCCTAATTTAAGGGCCAGGAGTCTCAAGTTCAACATCATCTTCCTGCCCCTCCTTTCTTAAAAACACACAGACCGGTCTGTCCTTAAGTTTCCATGCTTTGTGGTTCCTGTAACTGAAACACTGCAGGCACCTAGCCACACAAAACCCAACTGCAAAGGTTTTTCCCATCAACACCTGGGGCTTGTGGCATATCCAGTCCCCACAGACCTCAGGGTTTCATATACACAAAGGCCTTTGTTTCTCAAATTTAAAAATTATACTGTCTGGCAGGCACACACATGCACACACACACACACACACACACACACACACACACACACACACCCCACAACCACCACCACCACCGCCGCCGCCACAGAGCCAGCCTGTGGGGCCATCCAACCACTCTGGAAGCTACTGAAATCTCAGATCCAGCCCCAGAGAGGTGGAGGCGGCAGAAGGTGCCCCTTCCCAGCATTCCCTTCGACCCTCTTCTGGCTCTCCTATACTCTCGTCAGACCTCTAGATGTTTCATTTGTTAATGTCAGGGTTGGATCTGCACCCTCTCTTGTGCACATGTATTCAAGTCATTGGAGAACCCAGTAGAGGTGTCTCCACCCAGGTTAAATTGTAACAGAGGGACTTTAAAAAAAAAAAAAAAAAACTTATTTTATTTTTAACTGTGTGTGGATATAAGCACACAAGTGCAGATTGCCCTCAGAGATCTGAGGTGCTGGATCCTCCTGGAGCTGAAGTTACAGGTAGCTATGAGCTGTCTGGTGTTCTTTAAGCCATCTCTCCAGCCTCAGAAGGGCACTTTTAGAAAATGTTTTAAATTTTACACTTTTACTTATTTTGTATGGGGGGGTGGGGCGGGCATGCATGCACAGCACACACGAGGACGACAGAGAACAGCTTTCAGGAGTCAGATCTTTCCTTCCACCTTATGGGTCCAAACTTGTCACCTCCTTAGTGGCAGGTGCCTTTCCTGCTAAGCCATCCTGCAGCACAGAAGGTACTTCTTCTCAAAGGAGAAATGCTATTTTTCTAATTTTATGTAAGAAGTGGAAAAAAAAAAAGATGGCTGGGCAGTGGTGGCTCACACCTTTAATCCAGCACTGGAGAGGCAGAGGCAGGAGGATCTCTGTGAGTTCAAGGCCAGCCTGGTCTACAGAGCCAGTTCCAGGACAGCCAAGGCTACACTGAGAAACCCTATCTAGAAAAAAAAAAAAAAAAAAAAAGTGAAAAGCCATCACCTCAGCCCCAGAGTCACTCAGGCCACACCGTCTGCTCTGCCACAGGAAAGAACCCTCAGCAATTGCTGAGCAGAGGCTCCTAAGCCCGGGTTAATCCGGCTGAGAATGATGACAGCAATTTTATAATGTAAATTTGTTTGTGATCTGTTTTTAGTCTTTATTCCCTTTTGAAGGGATGGAGACAGAGGGATTTACAATGTATTAAACCATTTCTCTAACAATTGCCTCTTTGTAACCAGCCGTTGTGTTCCAACACCTCAACAGCAGTCTGCTCTGGAAAACTAGAAAGTTATGAATACGCACTCGCCCCCAGAGGAACAGAACCACATTGCCATGAGCACAGAAAGGTTCAAACGATTAGCGAACTGACCTTCTAAGCCAGTCCCTGCAGTAAAAGTGATGGCGGTCGGTGCTT